CAGGGGTGCCGTTCTTCTCGTCGCGCCAGACCTGGTCACAGGCATCAGAAAAGCGCATGGCAAAGATGATCTGGCCCCGAGTGAGCCGTTTTTTCTCTGGCAAGCCAGCCACGAGGTCCACGACGCAAGCGCTCGGAGTAGCGTGCACGCCCGCCTCGTCGAATGACGCCGGCCCGGGGTCCTTCACGTCTCCCGCGCCAGGCGCCGCCCCCTCGTCGTCAGAGTCGCTCTCGTCTGTGGTCTTCTCCTGGAATGCGAACTCCTGCAGCCTGAGCATCTGGAGCTGCTTGTCCACGTGGTCCGCGCCGCTCCACACGTCCGGCATGCTGTCGTGCAGACCTCGGCGTTGCAGGCGCCATGCTTCCCCGTGGCCTTGGTCAAACAGGCGAGCAGCGCGCGAGTTGTCGACGAGGGCGTCCTTCCAGTCCATGCGCGGGAGGGCGAGCAACTCTTTCCCGAAGATGCGGAGCCGGGTCCTATGGCCGTAGGTCAGCGTCTTCCTGGAGCCCTCGGAACTCCTCATCCCCAGAAGGGGCAGCTCCTCGACAGTGCCGATCTTCAACTGCGGCGCAGCGGGGGGGTCGTCCGCCGCGTCGCCCGCCCCCTCGCCGTCGCTAGGCCCGCCCCCGCCAGCGGTCATGCGGAGGCACGCCTGGTGAACGGCAGCGTCCGACTGGTACTGGCGCGGGCGGTGCTCCATGCGCGCCCTCGCAAGACCTTCCGGGTTCTGCGCGACCTGCAGCCCGACGAGGGCGGCGCACTGCTTCACCGCGGCGCGCCCCTTGCCCTTGTCAGGACCTCAGGGGCGCGAGGGGCGCGAAGCAAGGAAGCACGCTGACAAGCAACGCGGAATCATCCGAAACGTAGGAGGAGGTGGCGGCGCGCGCCCAGAGCACGCGATGGGCCCGACCAGCGGGCCTGGCGCTGTGGCCGAATCCCGAGAGAAGAAGTGGGGGGTACCGAGGGCCGTTTCCTGGAAAACGTCACATCCCCGAGATTCGTCCGACATCTGAAGGGCAACGACGCACGCGACGACGCTGACGACGACCTCGACGGTCTCCTGAGAACGGAAGGGCCACCGACGCAGCCGACGATCTCGAGCGGAGCATCGGTCGGGGCTATAGATCGGCGCCACTGAGCGCGCGGTAATGATCCGGATCGGCTTCCCCGACGTGGCCGCGCTCCAGCCAGGCCCCGCGTTGCGCTGCAATAACCTCTTCCGTTTCCCATTGGGATGGGTACTCGGACCTGTCCAGGAACCGCCGCCGGCCCTCTGCTGCGTCCTCCTCCATCTCCCGCTGGTAACGTATCCAATTCGCGGAGGACGCCGTGGCCGGCGCGAAGTACTCCTGGGGGCCGTCTGGCAGCGGCGAACGCATGGGTGCAAATGCTTCCAGTTCAGCCATCTCCTCAGTCAGAGTGTCGCTGTACGCCATAGCTGAGGGGCGCAGAAGCAACAGCTTGTACATGGCGGCTGTTTCCGAACCCTGCGTGTGCGACGGCATTTGGAACCCATCGAACATAGGAGCTCGCAACACGGCGGTCAACTGCTGGACTCGGGCTTTCTCGTGGGTGTAGTTCGGGTCGAAGTCGAACTCGATGGCCTTGGACTTCCTCTCTGTGCCTGGAGCACATGGCAAGCAAGGGGGGCGCATTGCCTACTCCTCTCTCTCTCTCTCTCTCCCTCGGCCAGTCTAGGACTTCCTCGGCCCTGCGCCCGATTATCTCCGACGCCAGGGTTGTCCTCGTCCTAGCCCACCTCCATTCCTCTCTGCTCCTCCACCTGGTTCGCCTTTCCCCCCTCCCCGTTCCCCTCGGCCTGAAGACGGCCCTCGGTGACCTCCCCACTCTCCTCTTTGCCTCTCCCCCTGTTCCGCCTCGTGGCCCCCCCCGCCCCCTTTCCCCCCCCCCCCCCCTCCCCCGCGAACGCCGGCTATCCGCGCAGCTTGTCTTATGAAGTGCCTGCCCTCTAAAGAGGGGGGAGCGCGAATCGACATTTTTCCAAGCCCCAGGGGCTCCCCAGAGAGCTTTTTGAGAGCTTTGCATGACATCATAACTTATCAGAAGGGAGAGGGGGGAAATCGCCGCGAAACCACATTCCCAAATTAAAAAATGAGGATGATATTTCACAATGACACAACCGAGAGCTTGAGATTGTAGTCTGGCGTATCCTTCCCGTCTGGGGAGTGGGTGGTTGTGCGATTGGACGCGTCTTGAATTCAGTGATGTGCGCTTCTTCCTGCTCTCCCCCTGTTCCTCCTCCTCGCTCTGCACACCTCCATCCTTTTGTTCCTTTCTCTTGGTCCTCCGCCTCCCCCTCCCTACTTCATTTTCCTTTGCCCCTGCCGAAGGCGGGGTTCGGGGGGGGCGAGGGGGGGGGGGGGGGGGGGGGGGGGGGGGGGGGGGGGGGAGAGCTGGAGGGAAGACGAGGAGGACGATGGGGAAGAGAAGGGGGATAACCTGATAACGAGGAAGAGCAGGAGACGGAGAGGAGGAGGGGGAGGAGGGTGAGGAACAGAGGGGGGATGCACTGATTTATCTGGTCATCGAAACTCGGAACAGCTCTTCTTGCGCGCAAGTTTCTGAATCGATGTCGTAACAATCGCGCTTTCAGGGATGCGCTCACACCCAAAAGCCTTAGCATGACACACGCCACGATTGTCACTTGTGACCTTAGCCGTTTTGGCTTAAGCATGCTTCCACACTTTGTGAGTTTTTTGTTTGCATTTTTGCGGGGCATGGCCGATCCTCGGGGCGAAGCGGCTGCCGAATTTGAGGTCGAGGCGGCTCCGAGCGAGAATGGCGATATGATATGGGATGATGATCCTGCGTGTGATGGGGCTACCGTGGCGGACCGCCCCCCCGCGGCTAGCAGCGGCGAGGCCGTGGGCGCCGAATCTTCGGACCACCTGGCAGCTGCCCCAGCCAGGAAGAGACCCAGACGAATGGAGCTGCAGATTGTGCTGGACGAGCTCGGTGCCGAAGCTGACCGCCCACTATCACTCGAAGAGAGGAGGGCTGCGCAACTGGAGAGGGCCCGTGCTGCCAGGAGAACGTCGGCACCCTCAGCACGAGCCGTTAGTGGAAGTAGCACGGCCATCGTTGATGGCCCTAGGCGGGCCCCACGTCTTGCCAAAGCTCCCCGTGCCAGCGACCTTGTACTACAGGCAATCGATCAAGGCGTGATGAAGTCAAAGGGCGATCAATGGCCCCTCCAACCTTTTGCGCGCCAATTTCAATATCGACTTCAGCATGATGGAGCAGTGGACAATGAGATGCTGAAGTTGTCTCGCCATGCTCTGGCTTCTGGTCAGGGCAGCGCTGGCTTCAGGGTCAGCGCCAAGCTCGCTCTCGCCGACAGGTTGGGCATTTGCCGACATCGCGTAGAGCCGAAGATATGCCGGCTGGCGGCAACGATAACTCACAATGATAGGAATACGCGGTACACTCTTGAGGCAGCAATTGCCAACGCGCCGAATGTGAAGCTCCTCTTGTACATCGACTACACAATGAACGACGAGACTCCTCTCAAAGTTGGGCTCGGCGACAAGGATTCGAGACGACGTGTTCCAGGTGCGGCGCTTGGCCAAGCACCTGGGCAAGCATTAACAATGAGGTTACCTACAATGCCGACTATAACAAAGAAGCAGAAAACGGTCTCAAAGACACTACAATCTCGTGGTGAATACGGTATGTTAGTTGAAACGCAGTCTGGACAACTGTTGTCATTCGTGGGCCGCTCAGCAACGTGGTTGCAGCGCCTTGAGAGGACTACGGCGGAGTGCCTTCGCCAGCCGCATCGGGAGCGGAGTGGACGAACCAGCTTCTCGGACAGGTTTGAAAGCAAGACTAGAATGTCAACCTTAGACGGAGCAGGCGCGAACGAGAAGTACGAGACGGACCTGCTCAGGGAAGCGATCGAGGAGGGCACTGGAGGTTGGATCAGGCCGGCCATGACATGCGGAGTCCACAAGATTGCGGATTGCCACAAGAAGCGTTCAGCTTCGTAGACCATCTTATATCTGGGCAAATCGCGTGGGCGAGATCATTGAATGGTGGTGCCCAGTTCGCTAGATCCGGGCATCGCGTCAAGCAAGTTGCAAAATCTATGATTATGTTTCGGCGAGGTGCCGCTACGGCATCTGCCGTTAGATATCGCAAGCACCTGTTGAGGCTCTGCCTTAGTCGCGGCACGGACTTATTGTATAAGAGATTGGCCTTGTGTATGTTACCGAACGGCGATTGGAGGAATGCTTGTCATATCGAGGCGTTCGTGCCAGACGGGGTGGTGTTCGACGAGCGCACGTTGAGGGAGTCTGTGGCCGATGCTATTCGACGCGGCCTGGTCAATTCCAGATTTATTATTTATCCCAGACATCGGTGGACACGGTGTGACAACGCATTCAGCGAATTCTGCCTTCTGGAGGGTTGCCACGGCCTGGCTTCCGCATCGTGGCCATCCTTCGCGTTCGAGGTTCGGCAGGTGCCTCGAGGTCCTCGCGCGGGGGGGGGGTCAGTGGAGCGTGTTGTCCACGGATCTCAGCCTTCCGCTTCGAGATGTCCTCACGATATCTGATGATGTATATCTTGATATACGGCGGGGTTACAGCTCGGTAGAGCTCCGATATTCCCAACTCCAATCAATTGATGTCAAACGAGAGAGACAGCGAGAAGCAATCTTATTCCAAACAATCCAGGCGTACGTGTGCGGTCCCCCTGAGCTCCGGACCGAGTTTCTTGAAACTCACCAGACTGGCCCTAGTCTGGCTTCGCGCCAGAATGGCTGCGGACAGGCGGCCTAGGCATGGCTGCACAGGGCTCTCACTGGGGCCCCCTGGGCTCACATACTCACAGAGGGTTGTCTCTACCTTTTCAAAGTATCGAACTTCGTACGAGACTGACATGCCCCGAACCATCTGTGAAATCCTCGCCTGTCTGTCCACATAGCTCAGAGGGTTTATTATGCCTAATATGACCTGGTACAGTGAACTTCCGCCTCGTCATTGAGGCGTCGCATCTTGCATCATCTGCTGTCGCAGTCCAGGGTGACGAAAGTCACTCGCAATGTCCAGGTCAGTGTCCTCGATCTCCATGTAGTCAGGGAAGAGCTGCCACGCATCGTCTGCATTCACTGCAAAGCTCGTCTCAAGCGTGTCCAAACCCTTTTGTTTCCGATGCTTCTCTGAGATGAAGTTGGAATCGTAGATCAGCTTCCAGGTACCCCGTTGCTGCCAGAGGTTGTAGCTCGCCCGGGATTTCTCCGCGTTCTTCGTCATGCAGTCGCTGAGCTGGGCGCCACTATAACACCAGCGTAGTGATTTCGCCATAGCTGCCATACCTCTCTTCAGTGCCAGGGCCTCTAGCGCGCTCCTCTTGTCCTTCATGCCCAGCGCGCTGCTCTCCGACCTGTCCAGCGCGTCAAACACTCCACGGCAATCTAGTACCAGTGCTCCTGGAATGCGAGCGCATCCTTGCGCCCACTGCTTCAGAGGAATTGGACCAATGATGATCTCGCTTAGCAATAGGCGACAGAACTCCAGCTCTTCTTGGGCTTCGCTGGCTGCTTGAACTTCCGCTGCGCTTGAGCTTCGGCATACCCTGGGCAACTTTGCTGATGCCCATGAGACCAGAGAAATCGGTGCCTCCTTATTCTGCAGCAGCGCCTGGTCCGTCATAAAGATCAGAAAGCCTCCTTGCGAGGATCCATCTCTGCGTGCATTCCACGCTGCGTCCGAATACCCCACCAGACACGGATTAATGTGCTTCTCCATGATCAGCTCCTTGACCGCTTCCACTCGTGCTCTCCTGACCAGCTTGTTCGCCTGCATCAGGGTGTTGATCGTCGCCGTGTTCGTGTAGGCTAGTAGCAATGACAGCTCGGCGCTGATGTGTGGAACGCCTTGAGTAGATAGCCACATTAGTTGTCCAAGAACTGCTCGTAGATGAGAAGCCTCTCCCGGTGCCACTCCAGCTTCTGGATCCTTCCGACGTTGAGTGGGCATGTCGATCTCCTTCAACTCCTGCGCGTAGTCGACCATGTTCAGATGGATGCGACCCCGGCTCTTCGTTCGACCATTGTATTCTTGCCGAATCCGAGTCCCACACTGAACAAAGTCTTGCGTCTCCCAGCTGCCCCACTCATAGGCGCCATGTAGTTCTTGAAGTGCGTCTATTGCGGCATGAGAGGCGTTGTTGATCGCAATCATGAAATCGTCCACGCGTGCGACTGCAATGCCGACGAGACGGCCTTCGGAATCTCTTAAGCACCAGAGGCACGGCTCCGTCACTGACTCGACGCAACCGAGCTTCTCCATGTCCTTGCGCACCCTGGTCCACCACCTTCTCGGAGCGTTTACCAAGCCATAGACGGCCTTCTTCAGCTTGATGCACTGATGATGTTCAAGTCGCAGGGCTTCTCGAAGTTCCTTGACGGGTTCTGCTAGAACGTTCCGATCTTATTCTCTTAGATCTCCTTGAAGAAAGGCGGCCTTCACATCGCCCTTGAACACCTGGAATCCCGTCGACGCTGAAACTCCCAAGAACATCTGTCGCGCTCTACGGCTGCATGTAGGTGATGCCGTCTTGATATGTCCCAAGCTCGGATCAGCATAGCCAAGGACCACCAGGCGTGCCTTGAGGTCGCCTGTCTCCTTCTTGGTAATGACCCAGCGCATTTTCATTAACGCTCCGGGATGTACACCAGCGCGACTGGCCGCCTCACATACGCGATACTTCAGGAACGACTTGATCTCGTTCACCTTGGCGAACGGTAACTGCTTCTTCTCCTCCGGTGTGAGATCCTTCAGCTTGACCTCAACCTTGTTCTGCTTCACCAAGGCTGCCAGCATTCTCTCTGGATTCTTCTCCAGCTGGCCTAGGTCCTTCTCGTCTATCGTGAAGCCCACCAGTGCTGCGAGCCCTGCTGTGTCCTCCGTAGAGTATCCGACGGTCTTCCTGCTTCGCCTTCTGCGAATACTCCCAGGGTGACCTCCACTCCGGAGAGATTTCTTCTTCAGGATCTGTGCGTCCCAGATCGGCCCTGTAGACGTCAGGCGCCTTCACCCTCAGCGTTTCCATGTACGTCACGAAATCGGCGCGATGTCTCTTCATGTCTCTGTCATCAGGAGGTTCAACACTCGCTTCCCGCTTGTTGATACCCTCTGGAGGTGGCTCGTTGTCCCAGGGAACTTCGGTTTGAGGTCTGTCGGCAGGTCGGTCAGGTCCTCCTCCTGGTTCTTCGGGAACTTCTGCTGGTCCTCCTCGTAGATCTTCTTCTTCGTGATCCTGTCCATGTTTGTCGCCTGCCTCAGAGAAGAGGTGATCTCCGTGGTCACGAGGTGGTTCCCGGTATTGATCTCCATCCGGTCCATCTTCACCTTCGGGAATGTCATGCCATTCATCTGGTCCTGGTTGGTCGGCTAGGTCATCGAACGAGCCCTTCGTAAGGTCACGCACTAGCTTCTGGAACTGGTCTGAGCTGCCGGCCGAAATACTCTCCAGTGTCTGCTCTGCCTTCGTGACGGTGCGCAGGTGCGCTGCTGCTGCTCGTACCAGTCGATCGCCATCCACAAGCCAGACAACTCCGCGACGTCCTGCTACTCCGTTCTTGACCTCGCGCTCTTGCGTCAGCACCGTAGCTGGACCATGGATGCGTCCAGACATTCCTTGCTTCGTCTTTTGGCTGTTACCCTTGGCGCTCCTCCAGTAGTGTGCCTTTTCGCCAGGCTCCCAGATCTTGAACGGTCGCGTCTTGGCTAGCAGCGCTCTCTTCGTCTTCTCGGACAGGTAGTGTTCTACACAGGCTTTGTACGCCGTCCGTTTGTTCAGCACGAGCTTCTGAAATTGATCTTCCTTCACCTCTGCGCTGAGAGTGGAGGGATTATCCTCATCTTGTAGACCATGTCCAGCCGGAGTGCGACCCATGAGGAGCAGAAGTGGACTGTAACCGTTGTGCCTCATCAGGTCGTTGTTAGCGGCGCACGCCCACGTGAAGATCTCCTGCGGCTCGATGTCGTCCGGAACTTCCCAGGCCATCCGAGTCGCAATCTCCTTGATCGTCTCTATGAATCTCTCGACCACGCCCATGCGCCAGTGAGCTTCTCCAGGTTCTGGTCGCCATTCGATTCCATGACCTGATAGCCACGCGCGATGTTCCGCTTGTCGGAAGCAACCTTCAGGATCCGATCTCAGAACTGCTGGTTTGCCGTAGTGCTGGATCCAGCTCTTCAAGACCGTCTCCTCCATCTCCTTAGCCGTGGTGTTGCCGCAGTGATTATCCATATCCTCCTTGTTGAGTACGTGGCACGTAGTGAAGCGACTTCCGTAGTCTGCACACAGGGTGCCTCTTATATGATACGCCCTCCGAGGATGTGTCCAATAGAAGTTGTCGCATCCTAGCTATTTTCCGGGCGTCGGAACTGAAGGCCCTGAGCTCGCGATTGGACGAAGTTGAAAACGTTGAGCGGCCTTGCACGATGGGCATTCGTAGTGCTTGCATAGATCGACCAGCTTCTTGTCGGCCTGTCGAGTCTTGAGAGCGGCCTCAACTGTCGTCAAGCTGCAGTGTCCGAAGTTGCGGTGCAGGTGCGCGATGATGGCCTCCATGTCCTTGAGCTCCTTCTTCGTGCAGCCCTCTGCGCTCTTGGGAAGAGGTAGACGTAGGTTGCCCAGCCAGCGTTGATCTTTAGGTAGTCCGTCACTCGCTGCTGGTTCCTGAGGTCCAGGTTCTCCTTCCCCTTCTGTGGGTGCTGCGGCTGGTTCGAGAGTAGGTCGTTTGGGTTGTCCTTGCTGCCCGTCATCTTCAGGAGACCGTTTCCCCCGGATCCGACGTCGTAGATGCTCACGAACTGTAAAGGCCCCAACGTCTTTCGCGTTGACTTCCTTGACTAGATACGAGAGGGCTTCGTCGGACGTTATCTTCTTCATGAAGTGCTTCGCTATCTTCTTGCACATGTTCACTGGATAGTTCGCCGTTAGCGCCACACGAGTCCCTCCTTCGATCGGTAGATGAACATGCAAGTCTTGACATCGACGTCCAACCTCCTTCTCGAACGTCTCATCGGTTGTCGTTATGTACCACTCCTTCTTGAGCAGCACGTCTTCCTTCTCATCGCGCATATCTTACATACACCCGTGGACAGTACATCCATGCAGCTCCTGCTTGAGGCTCTTGAAGTTACCTGTCCATGATCTGCATCTCCCTGTCTGCTCCAGGTAGATGTCACAGAATCCAGCCTCTCGAAGTGGTGTGATCGCCCACGCCATGTTGCGCTGAATCTTTCGAGTTTTGATCAGCTTCTTCTGCGCTTCTTCGGTCATGGGGTTCAGGTTCTGCATGGGGCTCTCCGCACCACAAGGAGGTGAGAACCATACCTTCCGTGGCCTCTTCTCCATCAACGCCTGGACCAGCTTCATAGCTCCGCCTCTCGTCGTGAAGTCGTAGCCGTTCCAGTTACTGAATCGTTCAGCTCGTCCTCCTGCTTCGTGTACGGCCTTCGTCAATCTCGAGTCCGCGACGCATGCCACTTCCGCCAGATCCAGGCGCCCATATCGTTCTGCAGCTTCCCATGCTTCACCAGGTATAGCTCCCAACGCGGTGGCCGCGATCAGAAGCGCGTTGACAATCGAGTTCTTCAAACGAGGTGGAGGTCTCCTGCTGGCCTCGGCACGCCTGAGGGAGTTGGAAGATCCTCGGGCACTGGAATTCCGTAAGCACTCTGGCTGACCATCGGTTCTGGAACGCCCTGCTGCTTCATTGCCCTCGGCGGATCGATCATCTCCTCCACCTTGATCTTGACGTCCGGTTTGGACGAGGCTGAAGTCTGAATGAGACCCTCCTCGATGATCGTCTGCACCTCTGTATCCGAGAGCGTCCTGATGACCTCCGACGACAGTCTGCTCGGCAGCAGGCGGCTTGACGTAGGCTGTGGGGTGCTTCGCATGGTAGTCGGCTCGCTCTCTGAGGTGCTGTCCGTGTAGTTCATGTCCGGGTTGCAGGAGGGGCGAACTCGTGGTTGAGCGTGCCCCGTCGCCTCCAACCGCTGGAAGTGCTCGCGCGACTTGGTGCAGAGGCTGAGCTGCTCGTCCTGCGGCTTCGCGAAGATGGACTTGAACAGGATCTCTCCGCAGTCCCTGCATTTGGTCTGATCCACGTGTGCGTTCGTCCCCTGGCGTGTCTGGTTCCGATGCGCACATAATATGACCATTGACTGCCCCGATGAAGAGGTTCGGGTTGTCCGGCTGAGAGTAGCTACTCTGAGCCAAAACAGTTCTGGGAAATATTGAGATTCCAATCCACCGAAACTGTTCGACTTGACGAGCGTGTTTGTGATCTATGAAACAATCTCGAACTGTGATTCCTTCGCCCCTTTCTCTCATCATATATGTGATCCGTTCCCCGTGAAGTGCCGAGATTTCCCGATCGTCGAAGTCACGCGGATCACATCTTTGAAAACGAACCCGACGATGAACTCTACATAGGGCCTCTGGAGTTCCAATCCAAGTGTCCTTCTTAACTTTGTCTCCCTCGGCCCAGTTCGCGTACTTCAGGAGGTGTTCTAGAATCGATTTCATTTCGGTTACTTTGATCTTATGCGGATGCTTATTTCGAGTAGCTGTTGGAGCTCTCTGGGAAGGTCTTCAGCGTCCTTTGGGCCCCTGGTAGCGACAACGATGGATGACGTCTTTTCCACAGTCGATGTGTCGCGACCAGGGTGCTGTCCCTATTCGCAACACGAGGCCGAGCCAGTGTCGCTCAGCACCGTCAAGTCCAAGGCAAGGTGGCTAGACGCCAGCACCCGTGTGGGAATCTCCTTCTTGAGCCTCCGGGAGTACACCGTGTTCCGCTCATAGTCGATCACTAGTCCAAGCTTCTTCAGCATGTCGACTCCCCGTAGGATGGGGGGCGGGCGGTCTAGCACGTAGATCTCGACTGTCTGGTTGTCGAGGTTGTGGACCTGAAACGAGACCTTCGAGGGAGCGTCAGCCCGGTCGCCACCAGCGAACGAGAAGCCCAGGCCCGCCCCCTGGTTCACCTCCATCGGGCGCTGCAAGTGCTCGTTCAGGTACTCCAGCTGCTCAACACCGCCTACGGACCTGGACGCCCCGCCGTCCAGAAGTGCGTAGCCCTTGCACTCGTCAAGGCTGAAGCCGATGAACGTGCCGTCCTCGGAGTTGCCGTCATCCTTCGCCAGGATCTGCTCCTCGGTGCACGTGCCCACGAAGTTGTCAAACTCCATGATGTGCTCCAGAGCACCCACGAAGCTGTTGAACGCCCTTCTCCGATCAGCCGCCGTTCCACCATTGCCCCGATTGGGACAATCTCGAGCACGATGACCCTGTTCTCCACACAGCAGACACGTATCCTTGTCCACCTTCTTCGGCGCTGTACCTGATGATGTGATCTGCCTCGTAGTTGACGGTGTGCCGCGGCCTTTGCCTTTGTTCTTGCCCTTGCCCTTGCCTTTCGAGGGTGGTCCACCTCGGCTCGCTGCACGACCTCGTCCGGCTCCTGGACCTGGCTGAGTAGACCTGGCATCATACGCTCCCAGTCCGACCACTGGGAAGTAGCCTCTCGCGTTCTTCACCTCGTTGATGAGCTTCCGAGCCTCCAGGAACGTGCGAGAGGCGGCGAACGCCGTCTCCGTCCACTCGTCAGCTCGCTCTTCTCCGGGAAGTACAGCCGCCGCTAGACTTTCGTCTTGTCCAGGATTCTCCTCTGCGATCGGGGGGTCACCGATCGTCGCCGTCACGAGCTCCTCGGCGGCTGCCATCGCCGACTCCATCAGGTCGGTGGCCTCTCCGAAGCCGTCCTGGTAGGCCTCGTCGTAGATCTCCTCCGCGTATGCGGTCAGCTCGTCTATCTGCTCCGGGTCCTCGAAGATTGCGTGCCCTCCTTTTCTGGACTTGTACCCGTTTTGCTTATCTCTGGCAGCCAACTGCTCTTCGGACCATTGCTCTGCCAGCGCCTTCTTCACGTCCTGGTACATGTACGAGTTGCCTTTAGGACCAGATGTCGCTAGCACTGCCGCTTGCTCGGATGGATCCAGGCCTGTACCATTTAGCAAGATCAGCCCTAGGACGAACTCGTGCATGAAGCCCGTCGCTGGGATGTCATTGCACACTGCGTGGAGGGCCTTGCCTATCTTGCTGAGATGAATGTCGAACCTCGAGACCCACTTCTTTGGTCCCTCGCCAGGGTTCCTGTAGATGCCTCTCATGAACTCTCTCCACTTCGACACTGCCTCCTGCATCGTCACGGTACCTCGAACGCCCTTCAGCGCATTCACGACTCTCTCGGCACCGTCTTCCTTGACTAAGTCGTCTAACAAGACCTTCTTGGCTTCGTGCCGCTGCTGGGGGTCCTCGTCCATTGCCTGCACCAGCCTAGGGCCCAGGTAGACTCTGTCCTCCTTCTTGGTGCCGAGGACCCACAGCTTCACCTTCTTCGAAACTCTCGAGTGTCGAAGCCTCGCCATTCCACACTGGAGTCTTGACTCCACTCCGTCCTGACCCCATCCTTCTTGATGTCACAGGAGATCGAGTTATTCACTTCGAAGTGGGCTGCCACTTCGTCTCGCTACCAATGTCAGTGGAGCGTGTTGTCCACGGATCTCAGCCTTCCGCTTCGAGATGTCCTCACGATATCTGATGATGTATATCTTGATACACGGCGGGGTTACAGCTCGGTAGAGCTCCGATATTCCCAACTCCAATCAATTGATGTCAAACGAGAGAGACAGCGATAAGCAATCTTATTCCAAACAATCCAGGCGTGCGTGCGCGGTCCCCCTGAGCTCCGGACCGAGTTTCTTGAAACTCACCAGACTGGCCCTAGTCTGGCTTCGCGCCAGAATGGCTGCGGACAGGCGGCCTAGGCAGGGCTGCACAGGGCTCTCACTGGGGCTCCCTGGGCTCACATACTCACAGAGGGTTGTCTCTACCGTCTCAAAGTATCGAACTTCGTACGAGACTGACAGGGGGGGCGCCCCGCCCGGCAGCCCCTGCCGCCCCTCCACCAGGCGTTCACGGACCTCTACCCATGCTAATGGATGATGGCGGCGTCGGTGGCGCCGCTGACGGGGGCGTCGGTCGGGCGAGCCTCGGGAACCAGCGGGGCGAGCCAGGAGGTGGATCTCCAGAAGATGCCGCGCGCGAGGAGGCAGCTGAGATGCGGAAGAAAGCTGCAGCGTTCATTGCAGGGCGCCCTTTGGCACCATGTCTCATCGCGAGGCAAGTCATGGAACCTCTAGTCTGCCTGATGAAAGCACACGTGGTGATTGCAGGCGCCCAGTGGGACTCCCGCCAAGATGCCAAATCAGCTGTGCGTACAAAGCAGTCGTCCAGTGGCGAGAGCAGGACTTATGCGATTGTCGAGGCCGCGAAGGGCAACATCGAGCAGACGTGTCATACCCAGTCTCACCTGTTGCTGACAGAGAAAATGTTGTGGCAAGACTTGATACCACTGGATAGTCAAACCATCGAGTTGCGGAGTTTGGCATACCGTCTTGTATCATATTGGGACATGTGGGCGTATGAATCTGTCACGAGCTTATTCAGCAGGTTTCCCTTCAAGCTGTTCAAGCTACTCGACGACCCTTTGAGTCTTGACGTGGATACCATCCCGCATTGTATGCTGGATGCATTTTCATCAGCGTTCTATAACAAATTCAAAGATGAGCCAGGCGGTGGCGTCCGCAGCTCCAGGGCCCTTGCATGCCTTCGTCTTCATGCCCGCCTTTTGAAGCTCAACATCGCTCCCGTTGAAGCGACTCACGCAGCAGTACGCAGACGTCTTGAATCCAAGGGGATCCAAACTCACCCAGAAGGTTTGGAAGAATTGTCATCGGAATTCACCCTGGACCGCACCCGCAGGTACGGCAAGCCGTTCGAGGTCCAGGTTCGGTGCGAAGGAGATGGGCTCGACCATGGGCATGATGGCGGTGATGGCTCAACTGGCGTACACCGGCCAGGGGGGGCATGGCGATTATTCGTTCGGCGGGAGAGCATGGGGAAGAAGGGGCTGCAGGACCTGACGGAGCTCTCGAGGAGGCACCGCTGCCTGTCTCCAGCTGATATGGCAGATCTGCTGCGCGGAGGGGCGGAAGCGACCAAAGCTACCAAGGGCCCTGGTCACAGAGGGGGCAGCTTCGGCCCCAAGAGCAGGGAGGTGCGCAATAACCAGTTAAAGGCATTGAGGGATGGAGCTGCACAGCGAGCGGAGGTCGCCGTCCAACTAGCAGCACAAGTTTGCGGTGATGGCGCGAGGTGCGATGCAACGATTGAGAGGGCCCTTGCTGTCGGTGATCCAGGGCTCGACTTGGTGAAGGCGCTCCAGACAGCGAGGTTCATCAAACGAGCTGATGACAAGCTCCTTGCGCGACCAGATGAAGAAGAAGAAGATAAAGTTATGAAGGGATGGGCTTCAGAAAGTGCAGATCGGATTCGACATGATGCAATTACATCGTTCCCACAATTGGCCCATATTGCACCTGCCATGGACGCTGTGCCGTGAGACTCCCAAGTCTTTCTTCGGGTTCTCCATGGCACTTCCCTCTCCAGCGACATCGGGGTCTGTATATCGGCCGCCAGGAGGGCGAGCAACGTGGCATCAGCACTGTGCAAGAGTTGGTACGGCATGCACAAGCCGATCATGCACATCGACTGCCCAGCTATTCCAGACAACCTGACAGCCGCACCCCCCATTCCTCCATGTTGGCAAGTGGGTATTTGCTTATGTGGTCCTAGGGGGCAGGCCATATCGCGAGTTCGGAAAGCATTCTATGTCTCCCTGAAGCGCTTCACTAAGAAGAAAATGGCGGGACGGGCGGAGTTAGATGAGAGGAAGCTCGTGGCCATACTGATCCCTCAGGACGCTGACGGTGACGAGGCATCGCCGTGGGATGGAGCAGACGACGACCACGCGAGACCCTCCGAGTTCTGGCTCCACGTGTCCGCGCACAGCTACAATCCCTACTGGTATGGCTTCAGAGTTCTGCGCTACACCAGCGAGGTCAACAACGGCGACACCATCGAGATCAACCTCATGGCTCAGGGGGGGGGGGGGGTCAAAACCTACTCGGTACTTAGACCCCTAGACAAGCACTCCAGCACGCAAAACCATCAAGTTTTGCGCGCTCTTCCGAGCGCGTGCTGTTGTTTTGCATTTTTCCAGGGCGTAGCGCTTTCGGTTGCCTGGGGCGCGGGGCCTCCCCCCGCCAGGTCAGATAAGTGGCATCATGCCGCGTGGCTGTCGTTTGGGGCGTAAGCGTTTTCGCTTTGAGCCAGAGCCTCAGAGGGGATAGCAATGAGAACGGCACATGGGCGAGGTGGAGGGAGGAGAGGATAGGAGAGACGGGGAGGAGAGGGGAAGAGGAGGTACACGGGGGAAGGATCGGGGGAACGAGTTTTTTTTGTAACTTGCGCTCCTCCAGAGGCCACGGGCGCGCGCCTGGTTGATTGGCGCGCCTTCGCCGAGATTGATACTGATCGGAAATGGCAAGTAGATTGGTTTGGGATGTTGGACAATACACGCGTGGTCCCATTTCGGCCAGCTGATGTTACCATTGTTGCATTCACGCTTGCAGGGGGTGCTGATATGCTCTGGAATGGGAGAGGCAGCCAGCGGAAGAAGCATGGGTGTCCTGGCCATGCCCTTGAGGACGGTGACGTGGACCCAGAGAGCGATCTTGACCCCGAGGAGAACCAGTTCAACGCCGATGACGATGGCGACTCGCAGGGGGACGAGGACCAGGACATCTTCTGGGGCTCGGCGGCCGAGCCCGATACGGAGGACGAGGTGGCTTCGTGCAGCACGGATGTCTACTGAATCCTATGTGCGCTGCCTCGTGCTCTCTCCAGCGTGGGGCGCGAGCCGCCCCCTCGCTGTAGAGCGCTGGGGTCAGGCGTGCAAGTGGGCAGTAGTCGGACATCCACGCGATCGCGATCCACATGTGGACCCAGCGGGCGCTGTCGCTGCAGCCTCCGATCTCGAGGATGACATTTTTGGCGACGTGGGCCCTGGCGATGGCGTCGGCTCTGGAGGCATGCCTGATCAGCCCGACGACTGCGTTGCCTCGGGGCCTCTTGTGCCACCGCCCCCTGTTCCTGAGCCAGAGGAACCGCCCATGCCTCCGCCCCCTCCCCCGCCTCCGCCAGCCCCCCCAGCCAGCGCGCCTCGGACGGAGCGCGCTGAAAGTGTTGCCAGCTCGGTCGAGCGCACGGCGGCCATTGAGACCGTTCATTTCAGGGGCGGCACGATTTCGTATTATAGGAACGGCACCTTTGAAGCAACGTGCAAAGTTTGCCCGAAGTTGGCCTCTGGAAAGCATTGCAGGCTGAGTAGGGCAAGTTGGGCTGACAAAGCAGGGCCGCAAGGGCGCCCAGTAGGCATCCTCGCCGCCTGGATCAAGGCGGCCCAGAAATGCAAAGACGACGGGGTTCCACGCAGGGGCCCGCTCTTTCTGAAATTCGGTATAGATAAACGCGCTCGCAGTGTAGCTCGCCGTGAGATTCGGGCCGTCTGGGGAGGCAGGCTTGAGAGGCGCGAGCGCGCTCAGAGAGATGGGGGAGGGGGGGGGGGGGGCTTCTGAGCCTGAATGCGCACCCTAGGGGAAAACGCGTGGACCAGGGGGGGGGGAGGAAGAGGAGGAGGGCGAACAGGAGGAGAGGGAGGGCGGAACATTGAAGGGCGATGGATGGGGAGGGGGGGCCCGCGGGGCGGGGGGGGGAGGGGGGGAGGGGGGGTTGGGGGAAGGGGGGGGGGGGGGAGGGCGAGGACGAGCAGGGGGGGGGAGGAGGAGGGGGAGTTGGAGGAGGAGGAGGAGGAGGAGGGAGCGCAGGGGGAGGAAGGGGGAACAGCAGCAGATGGGGAGCGGCTCAGTGGCGGAGAGGGCGGACGCAGCGGCCAGAGACTCAGGGTTGCGTTCCGCTTCGCGGACCTGGCGCACGAGAGCTCTCTGGGAGCGCTCTGCATCGCCGTGGTCTCCGCTCGAGTGCCCCCTGAGGCTCTCGGCTCGAGCCTCGCCGTCCAGCGAGAGCTCCCTGGGCCCCGCGTGCACCCGAGAGAGCCCCCGGAGAGCACCCAGAGAGCCTCCAGAGTGCTTTCAGAGAGCCTCGGGCACTCGAGGAGTGCTCTTGGGAGTGGTCCAGGGTTTGTCGAAGTGCCTCCTGGGGCTCTTCGCGGGAGCCCTGGGACCTCGAGGAGTGCCCCCTGGTGCTCTTCGCGGGAGCCCCCCCCCCTCCCAGAGAGCGCGCAGAGAGCTCCCAGAGAGCGCCCAAAGAGCCCCCAGAGAGCCCCGCCCCTCCCCAGAGAGCCCCCTGAGAGCCCCCAGAGAGCCCCCAGAGGGCCCCCAGAGGGCTCCCAGAGAGCCTCCAGAGAGCCCCCAGAGAGCCCCCAGAGAGCACCCCAGAGAGCCCCCAGAGAGCTCCCAGAGAGCTCCCAGGGAGCCCCCAGAGAGCCTCTAGAGAGCCTCCAGAG